CGACAGAAACAAACTCGCATTGTTTTATGTTTGAACACTCCCAGATAAAATTGTTCATAGCTAATACTCGCATTGGTGTGACAAGCAATCATTGGTATATTACATCACTCCCGACAGGTCAAGTATACATGATGAATGAAGTATGAATGATTGGATATTCAGCTTATGTTAATAGATGAGATCGTGGTAAATGTAACTTTACATATTTCCCGTTCTTCTTATTCCACGTCAGTATAGATTATGGTAACCACGAGCAGCTAAAAGAACTTGGTGTTGGTGTTGTATGCTTACGATCAGAGTAGTTTTTAGCAGTATGTGCGCCATAGGATATCATCGGGGCTCGAAGATTTCACTTGAGAACCGACAGGAACATACTTATGTCAGATATCTCCTACCTTAAATTTCGGTAAATCGCCAGTGTAGAGATCGGGAAATATGTAGAGATAATTCTCATTTACTGAGTATTATTATTATCAACACAACGTTTTTTCCGAGTTTCTGAGCGTTACATCAATGTACGTCAAAAAAAAGTTACATTCACTGGGACGGGTTGTTTTTATTCACCTTAACTGTTTCATTTTGCAAATTGTAGTTGTATTTCTTCTAAACTTGGACCCTTTTTCTTATTGTTAATCATGACCAGGTGGTTTGGGCGCTCGACTCGCAATCTGAGGTTCGCGGGTTCGAATCCCCCGTCCCACCAAACATGCTTGCCCTTTCAGCCGCGGGGACGTTATAATGTGACGGTCAATCCAACTATTCGTTAGTAAAAGAGTAGCCCAAGAGTTGGCGGTGGGTGGTGATGATTAGCTGCCTTCCCTCTAGTCTTACACTGCTGAATTAGGGACCACTAGCGCAGATAGCCCTCGTGTAGCTTTGCGCGAAATTCAAAACAAACAAACAAACTTATCGTTAAATATTTTTGTAAGCCTCTTAATTAAAGTATACTTAATTGTTCGGATACGTTGTGTACAGGAATTAATTTTATCTAGTTTCAAATAGCGTGTGTATTTTTACTCTTTAATTTTGAATTATATATATTTTCATCTTTCACACTTTTACCGTTTAATTAGTGTTCGTATTTCACAAACATTAAGTTAATGTTGCATATTCTTTTCACAATAAGTAACTGGAAGTATTAATACTTCGATAAGTAATACCTTTTAATCATGTTTGGTTATATATATACACCTGGAAAAAAGTTAAGCACCCCCAAATATTTTTCAGGATTGCTTATTGAAAATAAGGTTTAATTTTCATGATGTTGAGCAATGTTCATAATTTCAAACATAATTAAAAGGATGTGAGCGTTCAGGTG